CAATAACTTGTTAATTTTGGTCCTGCAACTTATTAATTCGATAATAATTAAACTGCTCATGAATTCATGAAAATAGATGCAATTATTTTACCATGTTTGACAATGTTAATTGTTTAATTTAGCTGATATTAAAATAATAAAGGTGTCTTGTGTATCAAAATATCTCTAATAAACTTAATTATTCGAGGGCTGTGAACGTACTAGCATATTTATTACACAAAATAGTAGAGAGAACCAAACAATTATTATCCGTATTTATAATGTTTTCAATTAACGTAACCACCAATATCATCACGAACCATGAGAGTAACGCAGAATCGTGATGTCGCACAACTTACACATTTTTTTTAACCTAATGTATTCAAAAAATTCGGTTTAATGAATTTTGATTTTCGAGGTTCTTTGCGCTTGCAAGGCCATCGCTTCTCATGCTATTCAGTACAATACGCTCATTGCAATAAACTTTAGTATAAAACAGAACTTTCCCGTACAATCAGCACATACCGAACATACCGAATTTAGGGAAAAAGCGATCATAACCAAATTCAATCGAATCGATCAAGAACAAATACTGGGCCATTTTTTATAGTGGTTAAATAGTGGTTAAATATTTAGCATTTAAGCGATGATGGTGATATACGCACGACTAGTGGTGATGTTGATAAAGAAAAGGTTCTAGGAATGTTATCAGGAGGGTATTTCATTAATCAAATTATAAGAGCTGATTTGTCCTAAAATTTTTTACTATCAATTTAAGGACCAAGTCCAACCCTATCTGAGATCTTTAATATTTAATAATCGATATGTAAAGATTGCGCCTTAGTAAGTATAGTTTAGGTTTGCTCGAGTTGAAGCTCCCATGGAGAATAATAATATGATGCCTCTGGTTGTTAACAGTATAGTATTGATGTCGCTTATGCTGATTTATTTTGTACGGATTTTTGGCAAATTAAAATTGACAAAATATGATTCTCCGTGACTCATACATTTTTGAAACTTGCTATTGTCATAATATTATTGCTAACTAGAAAGAAACTAAAAAGAAAATACTGGCAAAGTTCAAATCTAAAATTCAAAACACCTGAAATCTTTGTGAAAATAATTTAATGTAAAACATTAATTTATTGAATGTATTTGAAAAAAGTGTGAAGTGGCTAAAAAAATAGCAGTATTTTTATAAACTATATTACTATATTTTACTTAACCATAACTGCTTTTATTTGTAAAAAATTTTAGAAATATGTTATAGTATTACATATTAACAGGTCAAAGAATTCATAATCTGATACATCTATCAGAAAAGAACATTTCTACAAAAGTCCATAAGCAATTTTGCTTTCAAGGTGTAATGTATAATATTAAATGTATAATTAAATTCAGATCCTTAGTTCTTTGCAATCTCAAACTTACTTTATAACACTGGATTTATACTATGATCATAAATTACGAAGTTAACTGATAGAAAGTATACCAAGCAAAGCATTAATCTAGTTATATATTCTCAAAAATAATATTTAGAAATAATAATACATTTACAGGAGAAAAAGATAAATATCAAAAAAATAAAAAACTTCAAGTACATTTTACTTCTTTACTTACAAAAATTATGCATGATAATTCTCGTGTTAGAGAACATGTATTTACCCTAACTTGTATAGAAAAAATTAAAACTCGTCTCTATTCTTTTTTGTTCGTCTTTCATTTTCCCTTCTTATAATGTTTGCATCACAATGAGTGTAATACATTCCACTGTTCATATCTATATAACTTTTATACTTATAACAAACATCTGTTTCTAATACATAATCATAATCTATATGAGCTCGTGCCCTTTTTTCAGCACTAGAAGGATAGTATTTTTGATTATGACAAGAGTATAGCACTAGTGGTTCATCCAAACCTCCCCAAATGGTTATGAAAAGGTTAAGTGAAGACGTAGTAGAGATATTGTAGAGGATAAATTGAGAGCAAGAGAA